CTGCAAGGAGCTAGAATGCAGTCTGCAGACTTGAGAGGAAGTGAATATACAATTTTTGCCCCATCTGTTCTGTACCTGCTCCCAGGTAACCTGCCCTTCAATGAAGGGAACAGAAGGGTGCACCTTCTATGGGGGCTCATTATATTGCCTGAGAAAGGTCAGGAACCATCTTATCCACTTGGGACCCACCACTGCGGCTTGAATGTGTCCCCCCAGAGGTTGAGTGTTGGAAACTTACCCTTCGAGGCAGTGTTGAAAGGTGGGGTCTTTGCAAGTGATACAGTCATAAGGCTGTGCCTTCACAAGTGGCTTGATGCCTTTACTAGGGGGGTGGCAGTTACTCTGCAAATGGTCCTGGATCAGAGGAGGAGTCAGACCCTGCCACCCCCTCATTCTCCTGCCCTTCTGCTTTCCCCCAGGTGATGGGCACAAAGGTGTTGATCAGAGAAGGCCTCAAAGAAGGGGATGATATACAACTAAAGCTTTCTGCATGGAAAAAGAATGGCCATCACAGCAGGAGCAGAGACAAAGGCAGCAGCAGACAAAGGCAGCATATCCCCAGGAGGCCAATCCCAAGTCCTTGCAGCTAGGAAGGGGCTGGTTAGTCTGAGGCATGAGCTGGAAACCACATGGAGGTCAGGTTCTGAATGCTGTGGGTGGCATGCCAAGTACTCTGGATCTATCTATAGATTCACAGATCCACGTAGCCGTGTGTATGACAGGGTGCCTTCAGAAGGAGTTTCAGCAGAAAGTGGTTGTACTTGTGCCTTAGAGCCTTTCTCTGTTGCTTCTGGGATGCAAAACAGTGAACCCATTTCTTACCCAGTGGTAACATGAAGAGGTCACTGAAGCACAGGATTAATTGCAGAGATGAAGTAGGAGCACCCAACTTGTTCAGAGTAAAAGAGGCAAGGACCTCAAAGTGAGCATCGACAGTAAGAATGGAAAGGAGGAAAGGGCACTAGAGACAGTCTGTGGAGGAGGGTCTCATGGAACTGCCAGCGAATCAGAGGTAATGCAAGAGCTGAGTGAAAATTTCACAAGTTTTCAATTCAGAGATTGGGTAACTGCTGAAACTAGGAAGTACCAACGGAAGAGAAGCAGGTTTAAGGGCAAGCTCATAAGTACAACCCTGGATATGACTTTGAAATATCTATGTGGAGATATCCAGGAACTGACTGGAAGAATAGTTGTAGTACTTAGAAGAGAGGCTGGGGATAGACTCAGCTCTGATAATGCCTTGGATCCTGTTCAGACCATCCACACACACCCAAGAACAGGACTCCAGGAATCAAAAGGTGGGCAACAGAGAGAGCAGTCAGAAAAGGTCAATGGAGTTTCTGAATTGGAGCATTTTTTAAAAGATACAGTTGGTTAGCTTCTTTTTAAAATGGAGAGACTTTAACAGGATAAAACTAAGCTAAGCATTAGACTTGGCTACTGCAGAGTTTTTAGAGACCATTGCAAACCCGTGGGGGCAAAAGATGGTTGGGGGGTGGAGGCAGTAGCTTTGTTGAAAGAAGAATGAATATAGTATAGGATTTGCAATACTTGAAGGTGTTTCATTCTGAGGATAGGAAGAGGGAAGCAGAAAGGACCTGGAGGATTTGGAAAGGAACAAGTTTAAAGTACAAATGGGTGACTAGACTTCAAACAAGGCCAGAGAGATCTAATGAACATAAATGCTTGAAGGTGAATAGGAGCGAGGCTGAGGAAATACAGGGGAATCAGGGAAGCTAGTTTCAGATGATTGGTATTTGAAGCGGAGAAGCTATAGCGGGTCATAGGCAGTGAGAGAGAGAGAGAGAGAGAGAGAGAGAGACATCTGCTGTGGATGCTGACTAATGAATGATGTGCCGCCTGGGATGGCCATGTCAATTTCTGTCTCACTGGGTTTTGGTAGAACCTATACTGTTCATACACTAATTTTTTAGTAACCTCTACAGTGGAGACAGGGGAAAAAAGAAAAAAGGACAGGGGTGGGTCAGACATATTGGTAACCGCTTGGCCAAACTGCAAAGGCATGAGGGGAGTCAGGGTGTTATAGGCATGGAGTTGAAATGGTTGTCTTGGGTCTGGGGTATCAGTCATTCTTGTGTTGAGGTGAGTGAATACCACAGACTGGCTAACTTACAAAGAATCAAGATTTATTTAGGGCTGGGGTTGTGACTCAGTGGTAGAGCAACTGCATGTGTGAGGCACTGGGTTCCATCCTCAGCACCACACGAGAGAGAGAGAGAGAGAGAGAGAGAGAGAGAGAGAGAGAGAGAGAGAGAGAGAGATCATGTCCATCTACAACTACAAAAAAATTTAAAAAGATTTGTTTAGCTTATGGCTCTGGAAGCTGAGAGGTACGGAATAGAGGGGCTGTGTCTGGTGAAGGCCTTCTTGCTGGTGGGGTCACTCTGTAGAGTTCTAAGGCAGCATAGAACATCACATACAAGAAACACCTCACCTGACTTTTAAACAGACCCACTTATAAAGTGACCACTTACCTGTTCATCCAAAAATCATGTATAGGTCCGTGTAGTCATGAGGGCAGCCCTTGTGACCTAATCACCTCTTCAAGGGACCCCCTAGTCCGCGCTCTTGGAACCTCACAATGAAGATTAAAGTTTAGCATGAGTTTTTTGGGGGGTACACAGGCTATTGCATCCAGGTTCAGTGGTGCAGGGTGCAAATCCTGGAAGGAATCTGGGAAATCCAGACAACTAGAAGTTGTATACATGATGTGCTTTGGAACAGGTGCTACTGTAAAGTCCAAGGTAGATGGTGGACCCCAAGAACAGATCTTACCACTCACCATTGCACTCCATGGGGCCAGGTTCTATGGTACATCTAATGGGAGTCAGTCTATATCCGTGCAATGGAATTGCCACCTTTTAGATAGTTTAGAAATTTTCAGAATAAATTAAATTATGTATGAATGACCATTAGTTCTGCTTCTTTTCAAATCTTAATCATAAGGCAGTTAGAAAGAAAAAGAAGTGCATTTCTTTCAGAGTCCCTTGATAATCAATGAGAAATTTAGCCTAATGATTCAATTTGAATAAACATTCTCTTCAAGTGAATTCATTTAGATTCTTTGTGGACATTGATTATTGATGAAATTTTCAAATGTGTGCTTTTAAGATTATTACCTGTGTTATTTCAATATAATTCAAAAGATTTTTTTATTTATACACACATACACACTTGGGAATCTCAATGGACAATGGGATTCCGAATGACATAAAATATTTAACCACAGCACCAGAGCCATTTGCAGTTTTAAAAAATAAAACAATATTCCAATGAATTGTCCATGTATAGCAACAAATCAGTAAGAAAGGACAAACCCGCATAGTGAAGTAGATAAATCAGATTTAGGCAGGCTAGTTTATTGAATTTAAATTGTGCCCAGTTGGCCCAAGAGCTATATATAAGCAATCCATCTTACGTTGTTAATGGAGGTTCTTGAAATCCACCTGATGTTTGCATTATTAAATTTCAGCCTAATGAGCTCTGCTAATACATATTGAAGATGGTTGTAAGGAGTAGAATGTGAATCTGAGCGGGATAATTTGAAAGAAACATAAGCCGAGCATTTTACATGACTCAAGGGGTATATCTACAATTACACATATAACCAAAATTGAATTTAAATGGAATTTCTATTATCCTTGTCCTTCTACTAGGGAGAATGAAGTGTAAATGAAGTAAAAGTCTTTAGAGTTACTGGTGGTTTGTTTTTATTATCTAATTTAATAGATTCTTGCAATGATACAAAGTGGCATAAAAGTTTTAATATTTCATGACTTTAAATGCAGTCTAAGCGTGCATAAAAGCCTGTAAAGGGAAGCAGATGTCCTTGTAATTGGATATAGCACTTAATAGCACCATCATATCAGTTTTATCCTTTAAGAAAAGTGTTAATATTGACAGTAAAGAAAAATCAGACTGAAGAAAAATAGTTTTATACGAGGCATATATTTTCTTTAAATTCCTCCTATAAGTCAGGTTTTAGACTTTTAAAGGATGTGTTGATTTTGAAGAGCAAAACATATGCAGAACAAACTGAAGAGCAAGCATGCTTATTTTTTAAATCACAGTTTACATTGCCATTATCAGTATGATAAAGACTCATCCAAACTTTAATGCTGGCATGGTTTGACTCTTTTTTTTTTTTTTTTTTTTGACGAGGCAATACTTTTTTAACTTAATATTTCATCAAGTATAATGCTATTAGAGACTTATTTTCACTTAGTTCACTCATCAGGCAGTGAGACAGCAATAAAGGAGAATCGCTCCTTTGAGACATTAATGCTTTGGAATAAATGATGTGCTAGAACAGAAATTTAATTAATTTACAGAGTATATTGATAGTCCCTTGTTACTGTGCTGTATATTTTTAATCTTCTTTAACATCTGTAGTAAAGTGTTTGAAAACCCTGCAGTCGAGCAACTAGTAGATGATTAAGTAATAAGGGAAGAGGCTTCTAGAGGGAGAGAATCTTCCTACCAAATACTGTCATACAAGACTAAAGAACCTCAGCTTGATGTGCAATGAGGAAGAATATGCTGGCTGATTTGATACCACTCCACAGACAGTGCAAGCTGCTTATATTTAAAATGCAAACTGTGGTTTATGACTTCCTCCAAAGTTGACAGCAGATGTCTGGCACAAGTCAGGTGACTCATGGTGACCAGCAGTCTTCCTATTCCTAGGCCTTTTCCTAGCCTGTGCTTATACTCACTTTATTTTTTGTACAGAGATTATCTTGAACTAAGCTTCGAAGATTCTAAATAAGTATTTTGGATATTTATTCTGCATAAAAAAATGTACAGATGTATTTTAGATATTTAGCTGCCATGTGTCTTCTGACCACCTCACAGAAATAATTAACAAATTCCTATTTCCTTTTCTCAGTATTTTCGTGCATAATTAATAATTAAATAAAAAATGTATGATAAATAATATACACAAAATAAATACAGAAATTTCTTTGTTTTTGGTACAGCAAAAGCTGATGAAGCATTGAAAGCCAAAGAAAGAAACGAGGAAGAAGCAAAGAGAAGAAAGGAGGGAGGTAAAGGCCCATTTCATTGCTTTCCCTGAGGGGTCCCTGTATGGCATGGTTCTGGCCCTGCAGAGCCTGTGCCTGTGCCCTGCATGGGCCTTACCTGTAAGTACCTTCTCCACCTTGGACGCTGCTCTTTGCTGGCATAAGACTGCCTTTATGCATCCAATGATAGAACTTAGAGGATATAAAATTAACACAGTAGAACCGATATTGTTTTCTTTCCTTCTGACTTTTATCTTTATAATCAACACATTATCCAAATCAGTCATGGAAATAATTGAATTTACCCACATCTTCAGGAATATTTAGCAGTGAAGAAAAGCCCTTATCAATACAACTCTTTAAAACGCTTTTAAGAGTGAGTTATGAAATCTGAAATGGGAGAAATTAGCCATGGTTCAAATTAAGAAATGTTCTCTCCTCTCAATAACATGTGGGCCATCTCTCCACGTGTTATGCAAGTAAGCCTAATCAACTCTGTCTCTACTTTGGTTTGCTGTATGTGATTGTTGTAGATGCAGCACAGAGGCTCTACACACACTGTTACAACATTACAGGGTGAGCCCCAGGCAGCTCCTCCTCAGTAAGTTAGGGCAGTGATGTGCTTGGACCGGCCATCATGCTACTTTTGCAGAAAAACTATTTCCCTGAGCTTTTGGGAAGCTAAAGGCTGGAGTTGATGTATGAAAAAATGCTGGCTTTGAGTGCTGTTATCTAAGTCTAAAAGTTGGAATTTTTACCTTAATAATACATGTGTTTTACCAAAACAACCAGGAAAGAAATGTGCATGCTCAGCTTCTGGTTAGACACTTGAGAATCCAGGAGCACCTGAAGTGTTGGCCTGTGAAGGCTTAGAATTCCATTCATCTTGAGTCCCCAAAGCCACTCCATACAGAACCATGAAGGCTAAGTGACAGGACTCTACAGGTAGATGCCTTCCAACTATGCAATGGACTTAGGCCTGTAGACAGTAAACGCGTATGGTGATCTTACCTTATTTGACCCCCATAAATCCCAGCTTATTCTCTTATCCAGGATCAACTAATTTGATGTCATACTGAAAAAAGAAACCAATTCCAAAGGCAAAAGTCCTCAATAGATTTCTCTTCTTTTGACTTCTTAAAACATATGTATTGGCATTGTTACTAAGAAATCTATTCTGTTTCAGCTACACTTACGGTGTGCCTGCAGGACAAGTGGCTATGATCCTAGATGCAGAGTAATCTAAGCAGATTTAAGTACTTTTGCATTATGGTTGTTCTGATCCATGTGTTTAATGAATAACATAATGGCCCTTGTAAAACACCAGGGTACTGCAGATCACAAGAGTAGTACTACTATCAACCAACAGTGAAAGTATGTTGCAAGTTTAATGGGCAAGGTCCTGCTTTAGAGAAGGGACATGATGATATTGACTTAAACCTTCAAAAAGATCATCTAGAATCCACTGCAAGCTCAAGGTTAACCCAGCAATGGCTCAGATGGTGTAAACTTAAAAATGAGGGTGTTATTTATTACCCAAAATTATGACTTTTGGCTGGGCATGGTGGCACACACCTATAATAATCCTAGAAGCTTTGGGAGGCTGAGGCAGGAGGATCACACATTCAAAGCCAGCCTCAGCAATTTAGTGAGGCCCTAAACAACTTAGCAAAACCCTGTCTCAAATTTTTAAAAGAAGCAGGCTGAGGATGTGGCTCAGTGGTTAAGTGCTCCTGGATTCAATCCCCGGGACCCAAGAAAGAAAAAAGATGTTGCAGTATTACTAACCTCATCCCATTAGTTCATATCTTACATAGAATCATCTTGATGCTGTTTTTATAAAAAGAAGGGCACTGATAGTAACCACAGATTTCAAAAATTCTAGGTGATTTATTATTATGAAAATGTATAATGTCCTAGTGAAAGACGTTTTCTAAAATACTTTAGAATCCTACATTTATATGTTGACAATTGACATTTTAATAGTTTTTTCATTAAATTAGTTCAAAGTATTTTTAAGAAGATACTTTGTTAAGAATTTAAGTAACTACATATACTTGAACATTACCTTGTGATTCTTTTAAAAGTACTCTTTAATTTAGCTTTTTTAACCAAGTCAAATCATCTTTGTACTTAGTATGTAATATACATTCAGTACCTGAGAACTTAATTTAGTACCTGAGAATAGTCGAAGAAGTATATCCCTATATTCATAGCTGTTTTAATTAGTATCTAAGTCTGTTGTCCTAACTAGAGTATAAATTCCAGGATTATAGAAGACCTAGTGCCCACAATGTTTAACATGGAATAGAAACTCAAGTTTCTTGAATTGTTACAGGAATGAATGAATAAATGAAGAGCCAATTTCTCTTTATTCTTTTAAATCCATGCTTAAGTGGCGCACCTTGAGCTTAGAGTGGATTTTAGGTGATCTGCTTGAAAGTATGAGCCAGTGACATCATGTTCCTTCTCTAAGGCAAGACCTTGCCTATTAAGTGGTGGTTCAGGGGATTGACAGCCATGCAGATGAAACCAGAAGGGTCAAAGTACTCCAATATTTGCTAATGGGGATTTATTTTTACCTGAACTCGCTGACTTTTCTCTGCAACACCACCTGCCAAAAGAAAAAATGAAAATTAGTACTGCAAATGTTGGGAAAAAAATTCTACTGCTTAAATAACCTACACGGCACTAATTTCAAAAGATGAAAGGTATGTTTTTCATTCTTGAGGTTTCCTTTGCCTATTATTTTTAAGAAAAAGTAAATCATTTGATAGAGTATTTGTTGTTGCTGTTTGCTTCTAAAAAGATTTTAATGGATTATCTGAATACTTGAATGTTATCAAATTAGCATTTTCCTGAAAGTGATTAATGTATGAGCTACATTTATTTTATTTCATATAATTAGCGTAGCTGCAAATTGAAACTTGAGATATATCAGTATGTGTATGTACTTCTGTATTTAGAAGAATAATAATCCTTTATTTCCAATTTAAAAACCACTAGTAATTTGCTCTGTCACATCATTTATACAATTTATCTCTTGATTTCTCAGCATGCTGATATGCAGCACAGGGTTGAAAGCATTGTTCAAATGTAGACAAATGCTGTCTATCTGGCTCCTTTTATCCAGGCCCTGTTATCTCAAAAACACTATTGTTTTAGCACAGCAAAATATAAATTCATTCTTTTATGCAGTTCTTTCCTTTGAGTATTCTTAAGTCAATATCATAATTATGTTTGCAAGTATTGTGTCCAGGATGGGAGTCAAGTACTCACCAACTGCAGGCACCTGATTCTCCTTCCACCCTGTGAGTGTCAGGCCCAGTTAGAATGCTCCTTGTGGTCCTGGGGAGCTCAACTGACTTCCACTGATTGAAGACCACTTGAGGTTTGGTGAAGAGCCAGCCCTCTTTCTTGAACCAGTTGCTCTGATTACTTTAGTTGAGTTACATAAAGGATACCTTTTAGTAAAGAGTAAACTAAGTATTTAAAGTTGAGGTTTATACTTTTCATTTTTAAATGGAAATGCTTTTCTTTTTAATTCTAGATTAGAGTTTAGGAAAAGTAAATAATATTAGAGTTCTGTTTTCTTTCTTATTCTTTGATCTAATATTTGAGTTTGGCTTTCTCATTTTCTTTGTGTATGTTTGAAAATATTCTAACTACATTTTTAAAATAAATAATTAAAATTGTCTCAACATCTATCCTCTTGATTTCTTTCTCCATTACGGAATGCTTTAGCATAACTGCTTAGGTTTTCTTGATGCTATTTTTATATAATTTAGTATGCTTTTAAGGGTGCTAAGTTTGTTTTAAATCTGTGTATAACATAATAGTCTTTCCTTGCATTTAACTTCTTTCTAATATGAATTTCTTATTTGTGGTATAAATACAGTAGCTTTTGAATTCTTTTCCCCCTTGTGTTTATTCAAATAGCTCCATCCATCTGTTAATTTTTTTATTTCAAATATTTTTGTTTCCAAAAGCGCTAGGCAGCCCATTCTAAATTATTCATGAAAATGGTGGACAGTGGAAATGTGAACATAACAAGAGGCAGTCCAAATTAAGGCTTAGAGAATACCCAAGTCTCATTTGTTTAAGTTGAAATTCATCAACTCTTTGCCACAACTGATTGACAAGAAGTAAAACAGATCAGTCTTAATTTCTTCCTCTCTCCCTTCTTCCCTCCCTCCTTTCTTTCATTCCTTTCTTCTTTCCTTCCTTTTCTTCCTCCTTCTCTCCTCCTTCCCTCCCTCTTCTTTTCTTCTTTTCTTCCTGGCTTCACCAGATCTAAGCATCTGATTTCTCAGGGCCCATTCCGTAACACCTTGCCCATCCCCTCTTGGTGCCTTTTGGTTCATGCCACTCACAGAGTGTGAACTTTTCCCTAACACCAAACACCCAGAGAACAAGATGAATGCTTGGAATTCTTATGCATCCTGGGTTTCTTCTGGGGTTCTTTATACAAAGGTCAGAGTGAAGTTAAGAGGGAGAAGTTACAGGCACATGGGGTCATTCAGGAGTCACTGTTTATTCCACAGGCATTCTGGTATATGGTCAGAGATTAAAGATAGCCTTCTCTAGCTCTTGTCCTGAACTGGCTACCCCTTGTCATGCAGCATTGCTTTCTTAGATATTAAGTACCAGCAGAATGTCCCCACCTCCAACTTTGACTTTATTAGGTGATTCCATTGCAAGATTTAAATAAAATATGTCTTCAGAAAACTAGTGTTTCCAGGGCTGGGGTTGTGGCTCAGTGGCAGAGCACTTGCCTCACATATGTGAGGTACTGGGTTTGATCCTCAGTATCACATAAAAATAAATAAAGATATTGTGTCCATTTACAACTAAAAATATATTTTAAAAAAGAAAAAAATCAGTATTTCCTATGTATCAGGTATAATAATTCCACATCTTTCATAATGTAGTATTTTTTAATGTCTGCAGTCTTCTAGTATATCAGCTCTTATGTGAGAGTACTATCTTCTTAGAAGAAAATTAATCAAGCAGATTAATTTTCT